GTTTGATACGTTACAACTCGTTAAAATGAATACTTTTTTGGGTTTGATACGGTATAACTCGTAAAAATGAATATGTTTCGGTTTCTTGTGCCCTTTGGACCGATTAAACTTAGATTGTTTATACTTTATACCATTTGTTTATAAATACATTTGTACGCAAACACATATTTATAAAAAAATATAAAAAGAAACATCTATTTCATAGTAAATGTATACATTTCTTTTGTAAAACATATATATTTAAGCGGTCCCTATTTTTATAAATAGGTATTACGTATATAAAAAAGTTTCTAAAAAAAGTTTTGTATATAGAAAATATAATATTTTTAATGTGAAAATATGTTTTTTTTTTATAAATATGATTTTATAAAGAAAAAACATATTTGAAACAAAATATTGAGAAAAAAAAGTTGTAAAAACAACTAAATTTATGATGAAATCATAACAAAATTTTAAAATTTGGGTCAAAACGGTAAATTTTGGACCAAATTTGTAATAAAATTTAAAATATGGGCCAAAAATGTAAATTTCAGACTAAATTTGTAATAAATTTTGAAAATTTGGCCAAAAATATAATTTTTGAAAGTTGGATGACCTGTTGACTGGGTAAAAGGGTCAATTTGAATACAATTACCGATCTTTAGGATTTAATTAAAAAATAATATAAAGACTAAATCGATTATGAAACAAATATTTAAGGACTTTATTGCAGTTTTCTCAACTTCTTTCAATGGTTGAAGAGTAGGGGTGACGTGGAATCCCAATGCCATTTGCGAAAGGTATTGATTCTACAAATGTGGATGTCCTAATACATTTAAAAGGAAGCCAAGTTTCATAAATGTGTTTTTTGTCATTAAGCTTTCAAATTTCGATTTATTGTTATAAATTTATGTAAATTTTTGAAATAAAATTACCATACCACGTCCATATAAGTCATTTTTGCAAAATTTGATTAAATTTTTAGTGAAAATGAAAACATATGATAATTTGTTATGGGTTGATAAGGAAGAATCTTTAGGTCTAACTATGGTGATGTTTAGGTGAGCACATGAATTCAACATGAACCCGGCAACTGTTTTGGTTTAGAGGCAAATTATCACATATCAACGAATAAGATGATACAGAATTTTATAACCACTTGAAAAATCTGTTGTCTTTCAGAAAAATGGAGAACTAAGGTAAAACTCATTGAAAAAAAGTACAAGGCAACAAAACAATTTTGATGTATATTTTAATGGACAAGTTGTATAAAAGACATTAGGTCTACAAAAAATATTTAATTTTGACATTGTGTTTATTTTTTTCTCGATTAAGTCTCGAAGTTTATACTGTTGTTGCAAATTTAACCAATCGACTGGTTTACTTCAGGTGTTTTATGTTTTAGTTGCTGACTAGACAAAAACTGATGTTGCTTCCATATATGACATGAGTTTGCTAACATTTAAGTTAAATTGAACCCTCATGTAAATTTGTACTTGTTTTCATTTATTTCTTCTTATTTTATTCTTTTAGAGCATCACAATTTTGTACAATAACTTTCTAAGGTTGTTCAAGTGGTTCATCATACCAGAGTGGTGTAAGCAATACAATAAATGTTTCCTTGCTTACACCTCTCTGAGATGACGAACCACTTGAGCTACGTTGGGAAGACATTGAAAAAAATCATGATTCTCTAAGAGAATAAAAGAAGAAGAAATAAAGAAAAGTGAATATAGATCTACATAAGTGTTCAATTTAACCAAAATATTTGCCAATTAGGATCATATGTGAAAGTCACATAAGTTTTTTACGTAGTCAACAAGTGAGATACATGAAACACTTGAAACAAATCATTCGATTGGTTAAATTTATTAAAAAATATATATAAACTTAATGATCTAATTGAGAGAAAAGAAAATACAATGTCAAATTTTTTTTTTTTGAAAAAAAAACTTAACGACTTTTATACAATTTACCTTATTTTAATTGTACAATATATTTATATATTTAATAATAACATTCAGTTGATTTTTTCAGATTGCGAAGAATTCCCCCTCAACCTTTGGATTTCTAAATTCTAATGATCAAAAGGAAACTCGATTTTAAAAATCATTAAAAGAAGCGTATAGAATTTTTTTTATTAATCAAATGGAGATTTAATGTAATTTCGTTATTATTTATTGCTATCAATCCCATTAAGTTTTGTATTTTCATGTTTTTGTTGGACCGAGTAACGAAAACCACACACCCTAAGATATCGTTTGGCAACGAGAACCAACCTTTTGTTCACGTTTTCAAAAAGGGGAAAAGAACAACAAAAACGACATTAAATTGACAGCTATATATTTCCTTCCTTCAATGAAGCGTAGACAATCTTTTTGAAAATTGTAACATGACTTGTTTTAAGATCTTCATTTTGAGTGTTCTAAAATCTTAATCGAGTTAGGGCAACGTATGGGTTTTACACTTTTCCAAACACGAACCTTTTCTCCATCTTTTGCTAACTTTTTCATGCATTTTATCTCTCATCCCTCTGTTTCTTTCTTCCCTACACGTTATGTTCTCTTTAACGATCGATGCATGTCATTGTCATATCATGAATGTTTCTTTTTCACACTATAAATTTGTCCTATGTAATATGTATATCTCAAATACGTGGATTTTTTTATAATATAATGTTTAAATGATTAGTAATAATGTTACGTGATAAAAAAACATACATGCTAATTATCATAAACCGTTTCCAATGTTAACCAACACCTTAATTTCTTATATTACGTACGTGCCAATTTCATTATATTTCATCTTTACATAGGGTCAAACATAAAAACTCATATACAATTTGAATGACTCAAAGTTTGAAGTGTATTGGAATTCTTACAACTTCCTAAACCGGATTATTAGAAAATACATGATTATTATAATATTCTAACTTTAATAACCATAACTATACATTTAGAAATTTTAATTTCCTTAAAAGAAAGAAAAGGACCCCCAACTTGATTTTTTACCTCTAAACATGCGGAACAGTTAAAGGTGATCTTTAACTTATCATATTTTTATATGGAAATGAAGCATGTAATTATTATATGTAAATAAAGAAATATTGTAATATTTGACATAATCCGCGTTTTATTATGTGCATTTAACAGTTTATTATTAGTAAGAGCATACACTCTTGTGGATTGCTCCATGTACAAATACCTTTATAAGATAGATCCGATATACCGTAAGGTTTTGGTTTCTTTGTACGGGATTCATTGAGATTGACTTTCGATATTGCATTTCCGGTATAACATTTACTGTTCGAGATATCCTATATATGAAATTGACTCGTATATAAAGAAACAACTTTTGATGTACTCTAATTTGGAAAACATGAGTTAGTTTATTTTTTAAGTTTATTGTAATATAATATTTGATGGCACCAATAAAATAATTTATAAGTTATAAGCTATCATTTTAAAAAACTATTCGAATTAGTTTGATAATAACTTGTAGGAGGCGCAAGTCCTTAGACCCCCGTCATTTGTCGTTTCGGGATCAAACTGATCGGATATAAATGTGCATTTCGTACCACCTATTTTACATTATAATACAATTAGTAATATTCTTTGGCATTCATATTAATTCCAATTACACTTAAATGACTGCGGACACTTAGGTGGTTTTTTTTTTTTTTTTTGGAAAAGCTCTTTTTACGTATGCGTGTTTTTGCAAACTGTTTATTTTTTAGAAGACGACAGACATCTAAACGTATGCACATCCTCTTCTCCAAAAAGACATTGACCAAATCTGCAGGCGATAATAAGACATTTCTCGTAAACATCTTTTAGGCAATAATAATGATTAAATTATTTTATATATAATTAAGATCCTTCACTTTTTTCTTTTATATTAATTTTGTACAAATTAAAACCATCTCTTTTCTAAAACGATTGAATTACTTTTTTTATTTTTATTTTTTGATAAAATTATATATTAGATTGTATTTTTTGTTTGTTTCTTGTGTTAAATATATGAGATTTTATGTGTAAAAAATTATGTAAAAATTATAATAGACACAAATTGTGAAGATTATAATAGACACAAATTAATATAGTGTTTCTTTTTTGTAATTATATATTTTTTTAAACATAATCATATCCTTATATTGATGAGGTTGACAACATTCCGTTGGTTACACAAAGAACCATTACAATTGTTTGAGCGCTTCATAATTGTATAAGAAAAAAGAGTTTGAGCGATAAATTCTTTTCTTAATACAAGCAACCCAATGCATTGTTTCAAATTATATGGAATGAATAATTAAAAAAAATGTTATTGTGGCTATATAAATTATAATTCAGTTGTAAAACTAAAATTATTTAAATTTTAATGTTGAAAAACTCTTTTAAGTTTCATAAACCGGTTTATTTATGTTTCAACTTATTTTATCAACATGCAGACATTAAAAAACAAACTATTTTTTTCTTGCAGACTGCAAACGTATGTTCAATTTCTTTTTCTACAGATGTCTGCAAATATGGTCCACACTCAGGGGCGGTTCTAAGGGGTTCCCGGTTTGGCACCGAAAACACCTAATTTTTCTGTATGCAGTGGAAAATTTTTTGATTTTTCAATTTTTTTACCTATTTTTCATGTATCGGCAACACCTATTTTATCCCGACAACACCTACTGTATTCCTGCGTCCGTCCCTATCCATACTGCACACTTTATATCACTTTAAAACAAGCCAAACTTATTACGTTTTTACAAAAAAAATATTATATTTTATCATAAGATAATTAAACTTTTTATTATTAACTAAATAATATACTTAAATTACATATAAAATTAAGATTATAGGTTTTATATGAAAAGAAATACACTTGATTTAATTTAATATATTTGTGAAATAAAAAAAATGCGATTTAATGTGATATAATACGTACTAAACAATTAACTTAAAAACAGCAAGGACCACTCCCACATGTCATTCGCCCTTCTAAAAAGGTGCATCCCAACAATGTTTGGTCAAATTTCCTTCCCCCCCACCCCCCCCCTCAAAACACACACACAGAAGGCATGACAATTATACAAAATCTGTAACAGTGGTGGTGACATTGATGACGAATCCGACATGGGAAAAAAACTTGCAGATGAGATGAAAAACAATGGAAACTTTTGTTTAAAGCTTTCTCTTTCTCTTTCATGATTTTGTCATCTGCGTGTTTTTTGGAGTGTTTTGGTGTGTGTTATGAATTGATTCCAACGGCCCCACCACATCAAACTTGCTAACTTTCCTCTTCTCAAATCCCAAAACCAAATTTCTCATCGCCAATTTCCCTCCCACCCACCCACCCACCATCACCGTGAAAAAGATCCATACTTCTTCTTCGTCATCTCCATCGCCACTGAAACTATATGGCTGCCATACCAAAACCCTCCATTGTTTTCTCAATAAAATAAGTGAATTGGGTGTTTAATCGATCTGGGATTCTCTCCTTTTGGTCGATTTATGATACCCTTTTCTCAAAATTTCTTTTTTATTTTTATCCTTATTTTGTTTTCGTGATCTAAATTCAGTTTTATTTGGACATTTTCTTGAATGTAATTTGATTAGATGATGAGAGATTTGCAGAAAGATCCATCTGGGTGTTCTGCTTCCTGAGAAAATTGAGATTCCCACATTGTATTAAGATCCTATTTTGTGTTTTCTTATAGTGATTCATCAGATCTTTTAGTATTTCTTAAAAAAACTTCATTTTTTTCGGCATTCTTATTTTGTGTTTGTGTGATTTAGTGTGTTTTTTTAGTGTATCATGAATTGATAGCCCCATCACATCAATGCAAAATCGAAGTGTCAATTGCGTCTTCGTCTTCTTCTTCATAGCAACCACCCCACTGCCCTTTTCTCACATTTCTACAGTCTTTAATGGCTGCCACAACTTTACACCTAATTTCACTCAATAAAATAAGTGGGTTAGTGTTTAATCCATTTGGGGTCTCTCTCTTTTGATCAATCGAAGAAAACCCTTTTCTTATTTTTTTTTTCAATTTTTTCTTTTTTTATATACTTAGCGTAAGCATTATTGAAGCATAATTTTCGACTTTTTTTTGACGTTATCTCCAAGATAATCGATCAGATTCTGGGTTTTTTGTTTTTGAGAAATTTGCAATACCCACATTGAATTAAGTTCTCTAACTCATCAAGATTTTGGTTACAATCCGGATGTTTGATTTCTCCAACCCTTCAAATTTGCGGCTTTTCTGGAGTTGTAGATTTGACTTTTAGGGTTTTATAAATCTTAAAAGGCATGATTGCTTGTCTTCCAAGGTGTTGATCATCACGTTTTTCAACTGGATTGCAAATCACACTTCTCAAATTGAAATTACGAAGTAAAATTGGGTGAAAAGAGAAAAAGGGAAAATACCTTTTTGATTCTTTATCAATACAAGAATTCAAATTCAAAGGGTTCGAAAATTTCAGGTATCTTCTCATCGATGCATACTCATTAATCCTACTTTTTCATTTGTATCTTTTCGAACATTTATAATTTATATTTTCACAATGATCTAAAACCGGTCGATCTTGCAAGAATGATGGTTTGTTTGAAAAAAAACAAGTAAGATAGTTCCAAAAGTTGTTCACTCTTTTCATTGATTGGTTATTATATTTATAGCATCCTGCGTTTAATTCACCTTGTGACAACATTATACTTCGAAATTTTTTATCAATTATAGAAATGCCATCCAAATACAAAGCAAAATTCACTATTCTTTTTTTTTTTTTTTTGGCAATTTTCAGTTTTCACTATTTTTAGGCCAAGCATAGTGTTAATCTTTTTGTTACTTTGTGCAAACTCTAGGATTTTTATAGTATAATTGCAAATATGTTGGTTGTTTAGGACAGACATAAGAGAGGGTGGGATAGTGACTTGCCCTAGATCTCTTGTCTATAATATATGCAAAAAACATAAATGCCCTCCTCATCCTTATCATCAAAAATAGCCCTAGAAAGCATTTGTTGACACTTGACAATAACATAACTATAGCTGATTAAAGTTGGGGGATAATTTTGTAAATTTACACTTACCCGATTCTTTTTTATCAGGAAAAGAAAACACGGATTTTGTTTGATAAAATCATCATAAATAATAGAGTATAATGGCAAAGAGATCAAAACAACGTGGTGGTAGGCAAAAGAAAGAGCAGTCAGGTTGTATGTGGGGATTAATTAGTATGTTTGACTTTCGACATGGTCGGGCTACAAAAAGGCTTCTTTCAGATCGCAAAAGATACACACCCACTTATAATGCTACTCATGGTAAGACTTTTGTTTCCATAGCCTAAATGCAACAAATAGCCATGTATTTGTTTATTCTAATAGCATTGTATTTTCATTTTTTGGTAAGACTTCTGCTTACTTGGAATGTAACCTTGTATTTTCATTTATTTGTTTATTATAGCATATCCTACTTTCAGCATTTCTATTACAACCTTGTATTTTCATTTCATTTCTTGTTAAGGCATTATACTTTAAACCAATTATAGCATTGTACTTTTAGTTTTTTCTTATTTGGACATTGTACTTTAAAAAATCTTCTCAATTATAGGAATGAAAATTGCTATGTGTTGCATATAATAGGGTAGATTTTTTAAAATACAATTCTGTAATTGAAGTATGTTGCTGTTTCTTGCACCTAACCCAAACTAAAACTATTTGGTGTATGTTTTTCCCAACTAAAAGAAAAATATTTGGGTGGCCTTTAATTTGATCCGTTATCTTTTTAAGCTAAAATCTTCTGATTTGTATCCATTTGACCTGTTAGAGATAAAACATAACTCAAATTGACCTCTTTGACTTGACATGTTATAAGCAAATTTAAACTTATAATTTTCTTGTTTTTTTTTTCTTCAGATTCTCCATACCTTTCATCCGAAGTGAGTTTGCCCACAAATTCTGAAGAGTTGCATCAAAGCATCGAGGTATAGACTGTTATAATAAATTTCATTTTTTATATAGTTTTTTCATGAAATTTAAACCCTAAATCCTTTTAAGATTATGATTGCTTAATTGACCATTGTTGCCAATACAACTTTCTTAGAAACCTGGCTTTGATCTCATGAGGACAAGAGTGAAGGAACTTATTAAAGAAGAGATGTTCATGGACCAAGATTCAAAGAAGCAAAATGACATCAACAAGTTAGAAAACCACAAACCAAAGCATACAGAAAACATATTAAAAGAATCTCATAATCAAGAAATCTCAATCACTCATCAAGTTTCACCTCAAAAAACCTCACAGTATCAAGATCTCGAAGCTCTCGTGAAAGAAATCTTGCTGATTTACCAAAAAAAGAACGAACAGAATGGCGATCCAGACACAGGGGCAAAACGGTCTTTTCCTATTGTTGAAGAAAAGCTTGTTGCGGCCATCGAGACGTTGCTTAATGAAAACGGTGGCCACAAGAAGTTTCACCATTCGAGAGAGATGTTTCAGATGTTGAGTTCCAATAAAGAAATGTTCTTCAAACTCATTCAAGATCAAAACTCGATTTTACTAAACGAAGACCAAAAGTCAAAGTCAAAGTCAAAGTCAAAGGCGATTTCGGTGTCGAAGTTTCCGGAAATCGAGCAAACGGATCAAGAATCAGAGGAGCCCGTGACCCATAAGCACCGCAAGTTTTTTAGAAGAAGGAGCAAGTCCGTAGATAATATACCCATGAACGAAAAGGGTAAAATCGTCATTTTGAAGCCGGGTTCCCCCGACAATCAAATAGTGAACGAAAATTCGTCACAATTTTCTTTCATGGAGATTAAAAGACGACTTAAAAATGCGATGGGGAAGGAGCAAAGAACACCGGGGAAAACAGTTGATGGACATGGTGGATGGAGTTCTCCAAATAGAAATCATTTTTATACGGAAAGATTCACCAAAGCTACTACTAATTTTCATTCATGGAGGTCAAAAGACGATTTAGCCCATGGAAGGGTTTCGAAATTACGAGAATCCGAAATGAATGATGAGGATACGAATCATCGGATATCGAATATTTATGTTGAGGCTAAGAAACATTTATCAGAGATGCTCACAAGTGGAGATGAAGATGCTGATTTGATGATGAGAAGCTTACCTAAAAGTCTTGGCAGGATTTTGTCTCTTCGAGAGTACAATTCTCTTTCTCCCGGTACAAGTCCTAGAGCACAAGATATTCGTTTGGTCAACAAAAGTCAACCTTCTACGGACCATGAAGAAAATATAACTTCTGAAGGTATTCTTATTATTATTATTATTATTATTATTTTTTAAAGTTATAAGGGGGGTGTTTGATTATGACAGAATTGGAATTTCAGATTCTATTCCATGACGTGTTTGGTATATAATATTGACAAAGAAAATTAATTATAGTGTAAAAGTTTAAGAGTAAATTACATTTTTCATCCTTGAGTATAGCTGATTTTTTCAGTTTTGGTCCCAAGAAAACTCTTCCAATTTTGGTCGTTATTTGAGGTTTTCATAATGTTTTTGGTCCCAAGTAAAATGACTATTTTTGGGACCAAATTTGCGAAAATCGGCCATACTCATGGAACAAAAATGCGATTTACTCAAAATTTAAAAATCAATAAGTTTTCATCATTGAATTCCATTCCAATCATGCCAACCAAATTCCCTACAGATTACAATCTGTTGAGATTCCATTCCTTTGGCATTTCCAAGCATTTTGCGAATGAAACGCCCCTAAATCTTGTGTATTGAAAACTTATGCAGAGGGTCAAGTGATTGTAGAATTGGAATCTTGTGATAAAGAACACAAAGAAGAACAAACAGAAGGTGTAGATGTTTTGTGTGAATCACACGGGTCTATAAACGGCGTAGAGGACAACCACAATGCAGTGATTCCGGATTCTTCTAATGAAGAAAGCTCTTCAGACAGTTTGAAACAGGTAAGTGTTGTCTGTATAAATAATCTTTAAAAATATTTGAGATAATGATGTTACACGGGAAATGGAAGGCAAAAGTAAATTAGGGCAAATTTGTAAAAATTTGGGACTTGAAACGGGAAGTTCTCATTTTTTGGGCTTTCTTTATTAAGTGTTCTTTCTGCATTAAGTCAAAAAATCATACTCGTACATAGCTTATAAGATTAAGTGCCTTTTTTTTTTTTGTAAATTATATTTTTGATCCTTGAGTATATAGATGATTTGTGTTTTGGTCCCAAAAAGTTCTCTTGCAATTTGTAACGTTTTTGGTCAAAGATCAGTATATTGGACTAAATTTTTTGGGACCAAATTTGCAAAAATCAGCTATATTCATGAACCAAAAATATAATTTACTCTTATTTTCCCATTAAAATGATGTCTGGCTGAGTAAGAGATATATGTGTGCAAATGACCATTTTGCCCCGTCTAACACCCAAAAAGGAATTCACAGAATCTAAATCACACTAAAATCAATTCACAGAATCTAAATCAGAACTCAAAATAACATAGAAATTGAAACATTCTTTTTGTTGATTTGCAGGATTTACCCAATGAGAACGACTCATCATCTTGTGGACCACATATAATAGAGCCTACAGTAGCTAGCAAGACAGAAGAACGCGAGATCACTCCCTCTGATAAAGCCGGAAAGCCGAGTCCTATTTCCGTTCTCGACCCGTTATTCTCAGATGATGACATCAGCCCCGCAAGAACCGTTTCTCGACCCGGTAACCCTTTGAAATTTTCAATTAGTTAAATGTCTAAAATACCCTTTTTCCTAGACTAACGCTATTTTTTAATTTCAGTCGAACCTGCGATTCAACCACTGCGTATCCAATTTGATGAAGAACCTGTTTCCCGTTCTGAAGATCAACAAATACGAATCACAAATTCTGAGGATAGTGAGGAATCTGCGTTTGAATACATTGAAGCTGTGCTCCTTTCATCTGACCTAAACTGGACCGATTTTGAAAAAAGGTGGCTTTCGGGTACACAGATTCTTGATCCATGTATATTCGAGGAAGTGGAAACGTTTTCGGGTCGGGCCCAATATGATCAACGCCTTCTATTTGATTCGACCAATGAAGTTCTTGAAGAGGTATGCGATCATTTTATTCCCGAATCATTGTTCATTAAAAAGGCCGTTTGGCCCGTTCCTAAAGGAATGGATCTAATAAACGAGGTTTGGAGAAGAATCGAGTCACGTCTTTGTAAGGTTTACCCTCGAGATTTAGACAAGCTTGTGAGAAACGAATTGGGAACATCAAAAATGTGGTTGGATTTGGACAATTTTCGATCCGAGTCTCGGGAAATAGTTGTCAAGATCGAAGAATCAATCTTTGATGAAACAATGGATGATACCCTTTTGAGTTTATTTGATAGAACGAATGATGGTTTATCATGAAGACCCTGATTTTGGGATTGGAAGATGGTGTTCTTGTTTTCTTTATTAGCGAGGATTTTAGGGTTTGGTTAATGTGTGTTTCACTGTTTTGCGTGGTGCTGTTACTTTTTTTCACATAGTTACAAAGATACATGAACGCGGAGGTTAGTTTGTAACTACATATATATAAATAGGTGTTTGTTTGTAGTATTTTGTATTCGATAACAATCATATATAACAAATAAATCATTTATGATAGTTGTTTTATATTATAAAGATTAGTGAGTATATATATATATATATATATATATATATATATATATATATAACATACACACTTTAACCTACTCCTAAATTACATCATTGTTCCAGACCTAGAACTCACATCCACTTGGTTTATAAACCCTTTGTTAGATAGGATAAGACATGAAACTGTGATTTTTTTTGATATTTTTCTTGTAATGTTTATATCATTGGTTTAAAGCCCTTTGTTAGACAAGACATGAAATGCTTATAATGCGATTGCCCTTTGTTAGAGAGGACATGAAATGCTGTTTTTTCTTGTAAGGTGATTGATATGTATTTGATTGAGTAAGAATTTCATCTTCACCGTTATGGGAAGGGTGTTGTTTTAGGCTGAAGATATTTGAATAGGTTAGAAGACTCTATTTTATATCTGAGCCAAGAAAAGGTCTCTACAGTCTTTTAAAAAACTAACAATCTGAAAGACTAATGTATACACGTGGCCAACATGGCTCAGACAAAAGTCAAATACCACCTAAGATAAGGATTTGATTCCCATGACTTTGGATTGTTCATTTAGTGGTTGCTCATGCATGTTTGTACTTTAGTTCTAAATTCTTGCTTGACTTTACGAATTACACCCACCGAAAGGCATTCATTCCCATCTATCATACGGAAAATGGCCTATTAACTTCATCTTCGACCGTTTGGCTTGTTATTTGCATGGATCACGTTAATTTCTTCTAAATAATTTTATTCCTATTAAACATGTGTAAAAAAAATTAAGTCACATAAAGCTAGTCAATCAACATGTTGTAATAACACAATCACAAAAAAAAAAAAAATTCTCCACATTGTTACTTTCCACCGACTTCTCCTAAATTATGTTATGTAACAAAAGTACAAAACATTATATTGTTTAACTTTTACTTTCATATAAGGCCATATATGTTACACACATTGTATTAGTTTTTAAAAAGGTTAAATATGAAACTAGGCTGTTAGTTTATCATTTTATGTATTCAACCGAACAGAATGATGCTATAAATTGTCAGAAGGTGAACGCATGTTGCTATAAACTGTAAAATAACTAAAACTAAAAGTATGTTGTAATGAATGGTAGAAAAATAAAGTATGTTACAATAAACCATAAAAGGTCAACCATTAAAGAAAACAATTAAATTGGAAATATTGTAGGAGGTTATAGGGTTTGTGGTGGAGATCTGGATACTAACTTGGATCGTGAGAACACTTTCCGAACTGATATTTCTACCCTATGCCAGGGTTACAAGAAATTCAGCCTAGGATAATCCAAGCGGACACTTAAGATTCTAGGCACAGAAATCGTAAGCCAATTTGCTAGAAAGATTCTGTGAGAGCTTGATGAAAACGAGAGCTAAAATTCGTCACACCCTTCTAAGAAGGAAGAGTCGTTTATATATTAAACGAGACTAGGGTTTTATTAGGGTTGGGCCGTCATTAGTTGCTTTGGAAGCAAGTCAGGATAGCGGGACCCTAGCCAGGGGTTCTGCCCCTTGGACCCCGCTAGGGGCGCTGTCCCTTGGATCCCGCTAGGGGCGCTGCCCCTAAACCCCGCCAAAGGGGCGCTGTCCCTTTGGAAACCCCGGACCCCCGACTAGTCGTTGAACCGACTTCTAATTCGATCTTATACATGCGTGCACTCCGCACAACCCCGTACATATATTAGAGTACAAATTATGAAGCCTTTTAGCTCACATGTTAGTTCCAGTTACTTAAAATGACATGGTGACACTAAAATCACCAACAAATATTATTGAAAAGTAAGAACTTGGTGGATTAATTTGTTTATTTTTTTATCAAATCTATTCTAAGATGTTTATATAATAAGTTAATCTACCAACAAATGGTGTATACGAATTTGAATTTGATCAATTTAGTTAAATGATCTATTATCTCCCTAGTTAAATGATCTTGTAGCATATGCAACAAATGGTGTATACGAATTTGAATTTGATCAATTTAGTTGGCAAAAAGGTTCTACCCATTACTGTTAACTCCAGTCAAACCACTTTTACATCTACTTCCTAACTTTTTCAAGTGTCATTTACATGAAGAAAAAAAAAGAGCACAAAAAGGGGCAAACGAAAGATTGAAGTTGTCTTCAAAACGAGGCCTTATGATTCTTGGTTTCTCATGGATTTGTCTTCAAATAAAACATCTTCAGTCCAAGCAACAATGTTGAATGCCAAACCTTCCAGTACCCTTGAGTAGCTTTCCAATATAGCTTGTCCCACATCCTACACAAATATATATAACTTCAAATCAATTATGAGGGTTAAAAATGTTACATTTTGAAAACAAAGGGGCGTTTCGTTGGCAAAATGTTTTTGGGTTGAATGAAATCCATCAAAGGAATTGGATTCCCCAATAAATGATGAAATCCATCAAATATACAATTTCAAGGATTCCGACAGAATGGAATTCCGTCCATCGCCAACCAAACACGCTACGGAATAGAATCTCGAATTCCAATTCCGTAGAATCCACAACTAATTTAATTAAGTCAAGTTACCTTGTTATATTGGATCTTGCTTGTATCCAATGTTGTTTGCGAGAGTTCGGGGTACCGTTGTTTCAAGCTAAACAACAAACTATCGGCTCGATCCGCTAAAATCACATTCTTATCGCTCCGTTCAACTTCCGCCACGTGTTGTTTAACCATCTCCCATGATGATTTTGAATAACTTGCACACGCTTTACGCCTCCATGTATACATAGACGCCTCGACTCGATCCGCCAACTCAAGCGCTTCATGTTCCGAGCTTATATTAAGACAATCAAGAAGGTATTCGGGTGAAAACTTGCCCCCGGATGTCATATATCGGTATATCGTATCCCCTACACTTGTTCTTCCACACTGAAAAAACAACAAATAATATGTAAATCAGGTGGCCCGCGGCAAAGATTCCAATCCATTTTGGAATTGGAACTCTCAGATTAGACTGTAGCTGTTGAGACTGAAACCCTGTTTTTTTTATACCTTGGGGAGGGAAGTGATATATGTATGTGGGATTTCCATTTCGGCGAGAATGCTACTATTGATGGCCATTGCGGCCTTGTGGATTTGATTGGCGGCATCACGTTTTTGTCTTAAATGTTTTCTGGCGGTGTCGGAGAGACCTTCGGGGCCCACACAAGGAACCGGCAACCACCATTTTTCGTCTTTTCTCTGAGGCTGAGGAATCCTACGGAATGATCCTGTTCGGGAGTTATTTGACATGCTTCCTTGTTCCACATACCAAAACTCTGTTTCTTTGAAACTTTCCAATATTTCCTGTATTACAAAAAACAAGAGAATTGACCGTTAATTTTGGAAAAAAATAAAAATAAAAACCTATTAAACAGAGGAAAGTAGAGGTTTTGGTCTTACTAAGAGTAGTGCATCAAGTTTCTTTAACGCTGGAAGGTTTATATAAATATCCGATCTTGGCCGACTAGACATCACCTGAAAAATTATTCCAGCATTATAAGTTTATAGCAACCACTTATAAAAATTAAAATCTTATTAGAAACGTAATAAAAACAACAATTTTTTTTTTTAAAATGGGTACCTCCATGGCTTTTCCATTCTGTAAACTATGTGATGAAGGAATGAACTCTACAATGTAATCACAAACAGAAAGTAAGCAGTTCATCTCCCTTTTCCACATCATCTTTTTCTCAGGATGCAAAGGCTCCAGCTTTTGGTGTTGACCAAACATAGAAGCTGAATAATACATCATAAAAACAATCATATGATAATAACATATGGAATTTCATCATACAAGGGCATTTATGTCTTTTGCATACCATAAAGATTTGTGATGGCATTAGACACGGTAACTGCAGTTGAAACTCCTTTACCACTTCCAGACATGTCTTCTCCCAGCAAAAGCTTTGAAAATCTCTCTTTCATCATTTCAAGCTCTGTTCCAAGAAAGGTTTTGTATAAAAAAGAATGTATAGATTAATAAATTGACATGCAATAAAAATTAAAAACTCTCACCTAAATCCATAGGTTCACGACTCTCCGGTTTATCTTCTGTTTCAAATTTATGGTTGGGCTTCATTAGACCAAATCTTGAGAGGGCTGGCCTGTAAGGGGATCTTCCGGTGGCCGGCCAGCTGACCGGAGACTGTGTCTCCGATGAGCAGCTGTTATTGTCATCTGTTAATTGCTCGGAGAAAGCTGAAGTCTCTGAGTTAGTTCTATAGTAAGCAAAAGAATTGCCACTGAGTGTTGAATTGACTGTAGGTGATTCATCGTGATCATGATCATCTGCTCCTTGATCCAATGAAGAAATCGTTGATGACTCAAATCCCAAATCAGAGGTCTCTTCAAAATCGTCTAATTTTTCCATTGTTAATGGTCTCTGGCTCTAGAAACTTTGGATTAGTGGTAGAAATTCACTCCTGCATTTATACGAACAGTTGGCGTGCATTAAAAAGGATAACGGAAAGAAATACCGGGAAAATACTTGAATTGCAAGAATCTTCGTAAAGGAAAAGCAAAAAACAAAAAGAAATCTCGAAACGTCACTGTTACCTGCCCTTATATAGTTGTTATATACAAGTAATTCGCTAGCAAAAAGCGTATATTTCAAAAAAACTAAACCCAACGGTTAGATCATTCAAAATACCAACACCAACATAAAAAGGAGATTACGAATCTTTACAGAGAGTTATTACCTTTGTTCGAATTCGAAACAGTTCCCTCTTTAACCGCAACAACAGCAAATAATAAACAATCTTGATTTCCTTTTTCTCTTTCTTTAATTTTTGGTCACCCTTTCCCTTTTTCTCGAAAAAGGAACTGCAGAGGCGTGCTGCTCGCTAACCCAGTAGAAATTGCAGGCGTCTGATCCTTAATGCGACCATTTCTGAACGAACCCCAGTTGCTAAATGATCCTTGAAATTAAAATGGTGGAAAGATGATGATGAA